TATAAGAAGCTATAAGAAGCTATAAGATGCTATAAGATGCTATAAGAAGCTATAAGATGCTATAAGAAGCTATAAGAAGCTATAAGATGCTATAAGAAGCTATAAGAAGCTATAAGATGCTGTAAGAAGCTATAAGAAGCTATAAGATGCTATAAGAAGCTATAAGAAGCTATAAGATGCTATAAGAAGCTATAAGATGCTATAAGAAGCTATAAGATGCTATAAGACTGTAATGCTAACAAAAAAAAGGATACAGTTTACGTTCAGTATTGCACGGACTATATACCAAAGTATTTTTATTATTACTCTGTTTATTAACAAGTTTTTGTTTTGTTGTTAAGTTTTGATTATTGTTGTGAATTTTGTTTTGAACATTGTGTTTTGAACCGTTATAAAGATTTTTTTGTTAAAAAAAAAAAAGAACACCGAAACTATCGGGTCCGAGGCTCATTTCTGACAGAAACGACTTCCTTCAACTAGAATCCGCTTCATGGCGCCTCAGCAGCTCCTACTTACTGTTGTCGAGATCCTGCGGACGTTGGACGCGCGGGACACGGAAACAAACGCAGAAACTTTCGTCGTTCAACCCGCGGGGCCGCAGCTCCAGCTCCGCCAGGGCCCGTTGCTAGGACACGCTGATTTGTTGCTAGGAGTGACGTCATCCATAAACGATCCGAAGGGCGGGTGTACGGTTACCTAGCAACCAAGCCTTTTTTCCAGAGGAGGGACAGTGGTTTGGACATGTCTAGAGGAGGGACAGTGGTTTGGACATGTCCAGAGGAGGGACAGTGGTTTGGACATGTCCAGAGGAGGGACAGTGGTTTGGACATGTCCAGAGGAGGGACAGTGGTTTGGACATGCCCAGAGGAGGGACAGTGGTTTGGACATGTCCAGAGGAGGGACAGTGGTTTGGACATGCCCAGAGGAGGGACAGTGGTTTGGACATGTCCAGAGGAGGGACAGTGGTTTGGACATGCCCAGAGGAGGGACAGTGGTTTGGACATGTCCAGAGGAGGGACAGTGGTTTGGACACGTCCAGAGGAGGGACAGTGGTTTGGACATGTCCAGAGGAGGGACAGTGGTTTGGACACGTCCAGAGGAGGGACAGTGGTTTGGACATGTCTAGAGGAGGGACAGTGGTTTGGACATGTCCAGAGGAGGGACAGTGGATATATTGGTAGAAGGATGTTAGAAATGCAGCTGCAGGAAAAAGACAAAGAGGAGACACATGGATGCAGTTAGAGAGGACATGGAGGTAGTTGGAGTGAGGACAGAGGACACAGAGGACAGAGTGAGATGGAGGAGGACTTAATGTGGAGACCCTGAAGAGAGAAAAGTCAAAAGTTTGGATTTGAGAATAAATTCTTAATTTTTCAGGTTTTGACACATTTCCAGGTTGAAAGTGAGCGACTGGACTCAGACTGCCGTCAGTTTCCCACGTGTTTTTATTTCTCATGTTCACTCTGCAGATTAACAACAGCTGGCAGCACATCTGCAAAGAAACTTCACCGTAAACAACCACTCAGCAGCTGATCGATCAATACAAATCAATCCTGATCAAACGTTGGTTTTTTGGAACAGTTTCAGAGTTCAGATGTTGTCAAGTTTTGGTTTTCTCTGCAGTTCAGGGGTTTGGATGAAGGTTGAACCTGATTCAGCTTACGTGCACGTGATGCGCTCATCACATCAGTTTAGTGTCGATGAAGAACCGAAGTCTTCATGAGCAGAAGACATGGAGCTAAAACATGAAATCTCTTTGTTCGTTTATGTTTTTATGATTTTTATGATCTGAACGCATCCGCCTTTCATTTTTCACTTTTCTTTTACGTTGTTCCTTTGAGCAAATCACGTTTCAGAGTTCCTGTCGTCTGATGAGGTCACTTCCTGCCACCTGTCATCTGAAGAGGTCACTTCCTGCCACCTGTCATCTGATGAGGTCACTTCCTGCCACCTGTCATCTGATTAATTTATTTTAAATAAAAACATATTAAAAACATGCAGAACTGGATGAACATTTTGTTATTTGAGTTTCTGTTACCAACTTTTATCCGTTTCATGATCTGAGCCAGAACCTGGACCTGGTGTTTCTGGACCAGAACCTGGACCTGGTGTTTCTGGACCAGAACCCGGACGTGGTGTTTCTGGACCAGAACCCGGACCTGGTGTTTCTGGACCAGAACCCGGACCTGGTGTTTCTGGACTCTTTGGATTGAGACCTTGTGAATTAACGCTCGAAGCTTCTCAAACCTTTTGGTTCACAGACGAACACCGACGGATACTGAACCGTCCAACCAGATCCAGATGAAGTCAACACTTGGAACCTACAAACAGGACCGACCCGAGAAGCGCCGGTGGAAGAAGATCAACGTCAGAACCAAGAGTTTGTTGTGTTAAATCAGCAGCAGAGTCGTTTCCATGGCGACGGCAGACGTCTTCCAGACGTGTAGGTGGCGTCTAGTGAGACCACGATCAGACCAGAACCAGACTAGTCCCTCCTGCTTCAGGTAAAAACTGAAGAATCATGTTTCTGCTGGATGTCGTTGGTTTAAAACATCTTTGACACATCCTGCTCTCTCCTTCACCTCCCCTGACTCCTCCCCCTCCATCAGAACTCGGGCAGCAGCTCGTCGTAGTTCATGATGCTGAGCTCCTCTCTCCTCTGCCGGACGGTGAGTGACAGGTCTGCCGTAGGGGCGTTGGTGGGGGGCGGACTCAAAGACGCAATCTGTGGACTTCCAGCAAGGAGGGTGGCCTCCTCCACCTCCTGACCCAAAGGAGGGCTCTCTGACTGGGCCGTCTCAACTTCCTCCTCCTCCTCCTCCTGCTCCTCCTGCTGCTCCTCCACTTCCTCTGGGCTCTGACCAGTTGACCCGAACAACCGGCGCGCCTGCTGCTCCAGGAAGGATCCGACAGCGAGGGGGGACTCGATGGGGGAGACAGAAAGGGGGGAGCAGGAGGACAGGGTCTCCACTGCACCGTTTATGATGCCAACAGCAGAAGAGGAGTAGCGGGGCTTGTTGCCGCCCGGATGCACAGGTGAGGAGACGCCATCGCCACCTGGCCTGAGAGTCAGACGGGACACGAGGTTTTCAAACACAATCCCAGAATTCTTGCTGAGGTGCAGTTCAGTGTTTTACCTGCTGCTGGCACCTTGAGGCGGGCCGTGCACGTCACTTCCTGTCTGCACGTCCACCTGGACCTGGCTGTACAGGTGGAGCATCTCTGCCTGCAGACTCTGGGTGACTCTCCTCAGAGCCACGCAGCGACTCTCCGAGGCCGACAGCTCCTCCCTGAAACAAACCAGCCATCAGATCAAACCAGTTTCTGCTTTCCAGTTTCAAATAACTTAATGAGCTGATTTAAACAAACTGAGGCGTCACACAGGGCTTTGTGTAAGGCCCACTCAGACTCTCCTCTTTTCATTTCTCCGTTTTTACTCATTTTCCAGGAAAAACAAGCAACTTGTGAACAAACAGAACAGGACTGGGCTCTGCATCTGTTTGATGGACTCTGTGGGTTTGGTCTGTTCTGTACTGGACTGGGTCCACTTGAACCTTTTCTAATTAACAGGTCTACGTTGTCTCTAGAGTCTGACCTGCTATGATTCTTGGAGTCCTCCAGAAGCTTCTTCTGATCCATGATAAGCTTCTCCTTCTTGGCCAGCTGGTTCTCCAGCTCCACTATCCTGTGATTGGCTGCTTCCAGCTTCTGTCTCTGCTGGACGTCCCTGTCCTTCAGCCTCTGGACGTCCTTACCCACAGTGCACTGCAGCATGGCCTCCTCCTGAGCAGAACATGACAGCGTTAGGCTGGTTCATCAAACGATCAGACAGTGTCAGGTTGTGGATCTTACGGTCCAGCTGTGCTCGTCTCCTGCGTCCAGCTGTTCCCTCAGAGCTAGGTTGGTTTGTCTCAGGAGGACGAGCTGCTGGTTCAGCAGGAAGATGTGCTGCTGCAGCTGTTCACTGCTGCACAGCTGCACACACACCACAAGCTGGTTCAGCTCAGCCCTAAACTGAAAACACGTCCAGAGAGCAGAACCTTCGAGGAACTCTGCCCGCTGGACTTTATCAAAGATCGAGCCTCCTCCAGGCAGACCGAACCTCCCGACCCACTTCACCGATTCTTTTCAAACTAAAGCTAATCGAATAAACACGTCTGCAACATTTACTGACTTCGTTTATTATTATTACAGTTTACGTAAAATTAACATTTTTATTAAAAAAGTGAGTAAAAATCAGCAGAAACTTTAAAACAAGTGGAACTAAAAGTGCTGTGTATTTAACGTCTTTAAAATGTTCAGGTATGCAAACACTCAGAAAGTTGCAGCGATGACTTTTGATCTTTCTACTTTTTAACTTTGACCATTTTCATCATAAAAATGTTCTGAGAACTCTTCAGCACACGCTTCATTTTCAGCTTTTAGCTTCTGCTTGACAATTGTAGTTTTCCCGTGGTTTTATTTGACCTCTGCAGTATTTTACAAGCACAGAGGCAACTTTAGGTAAAAAAATTAGCTTTTACTTGGTTTTAACAGCTTTTAGCTGTTTTGCTAATTTGTTGTTTAGCCTTTGTTCTCATCAGTTTAACATTGCCAGGTTAATTTTAGCTTCTTCAACAAATATCAGCATCATCTTTTAGTTGCATTTTCTCAGAAAAGGTCAAGTCTTTTACTGTTTTAGATTCTTAGAAGTTTGTCAACAAAAACATTTACTTTTAAAGCTTAAATTGTTTGGGTGTAACTGTACGGACCAATAAAAAGTCTCCTCACCTTGAGTGACAGCTGGGTCAGCTGGTGTTCTGCATTATAGGCCTTGATATTGGCCCTTTGAAGCTCCGCCTCCACATTTTTTAGCCTGTTGTGGCACTCCTGAAGCTCGCTCTGAAACAACAAATCAGAGCACAGGGAGGGGTTTATTCAGCCAATCAGAGCACAGGGAGGGGTTTATTCAGCCAATCAGAGGGAGGGTTTTATTCAGCCAATCAGAGCACAGGGAGGGTTTTATTCAGCCAATCAGAGCACAGGGAGGGTTTTATTCAGCCAATCAGAGCAGTGTGCTGTTTTGGACTCATTTCACCTGCAGCTTCTGGTTTTCCTGCTGCCGGTCCAGTTGCTGCTGCTGCAGTTGCTGGTTCTGAGCGCGCAGCTGCTCGGTTTGCGCCTGCATGTCCTGCTTCAGCTGGTTGTACCGTCTTTGTTCCTCGTCCAGACTCGACTTCAGACACAGAATCTCCCCGTCCTGAACGCCCAGCTGCGCCTTCTGCCACCGAGGAGAAGAAGAAGAATCACCCAAAGATACAAAAACAAACAAATCACTTCAAAAATTAATTAACATGAAAAGTGGCATTTTCTATGAAAATGCAGAGTGAGCGCTGAAGTTTGATAAGTTGAGTTGTTCGAGCTAAAACAACCAAAACAGAAAATAAAAGTCAAAAGTAGCATGATGCTAACTTAAAAAATGACTAAACTCTAGCTAAAAGCAGCAAAAGCTAAGCTGAAAGCTAAACTAGCAAAAGGATATTTTAAAGTAGCAGCTAGTTCTCAAGGATAAAGAAAGCAGCCCTTCAAGACCTGCTAAAGCAGCTGTAAGCTAAAAGCTAAAAGTAGCATAAGAAAACAGATTCAGGATGAAGAAGCAGGCGTCATTCAGAACCGGTTTTCAGAAACTCCAGAACTTAATGTACTTCCATGGTAAAATATTTGTAGTTTTCAGATTTTAAAATGGTAAAAAAGAAAAAAGTACTAAATTCACGGCACCCATCTCTTGAAGAATAAAAACTGGAAAACAAAGTGACCAAATGTTTACAGCTTCGGTAAAAGCAAAGGCTAAACACTAAAAAGGTTCGACACACGGGTGTCGCTGGAGGCGTGCGTTACCATGGCAACACTGTGCTCCTCCAGCGCCGTGGCGTTGATGACTCTTCGCAGCAGGCGGCGGTTTCTGATGGCGTGCTGCTGTCGCTTGAAGCGCTCGTACTGAAGCTGACCGTGAACCAGCAGCAGCTGGCTCCGCAGGGCCTGAAGCTCCTCCCCCTGGGCGGAGCCTAACACGACAGAAACACACTAAGATCTTTCAGGTGGTACGTTAGAAAATGACAGATTTTAAAGCTTCACCCGTCAAACAGCGTTAGCTTAACACTCCCAACAACAAGCTGCGGCGGCCATCTTGAATTTGGTGGACTCCCAAAGTTAATCCATTGTCAGAAACTTTCTACTAAATGTTATCTACTGTCTCAGGAGATATTTTGCTAACACACACACAGACACTGGCAAAAAGATGATTGCCCGCCTCTCACGTTGGTGGCGGGCTGCAGCAGCAAGTACCGACCCGCCTGCAGCTTGGACCAGAACCTACAAGCAGTTGTGTCAAAGATGAAACGTTTTCATGCTGATGCTGTCCGAACCCTTTCAGACCCGCTGCTCCACCACGCGCACGACTGGTGAGACGGGTTAAACTGGTGAGCCAGAACCACAGGTCGGGTTAAACTGGTGAGTCAGAACCACAGGTCGGGTTAAACTGGTGAGCCAGAACCACAGGTCGGGTTAAACTGGTGAGTCAGAACCACAGGTCGGGTTAAACTGGTGAGTCAGAACCACAGGTCAGGTTAAACTGGTGAGTCAGAACCACAGGTCAAGTTAAACTGGTGAGTCAGAACCACAGGTCAGGTTAAACTGGTGAGTCACAACCACAGGTCAGGTTAAACTGGTGAGTCAGAACCACAGGTCAAGTTAAACTGGTGAGTCAGAACCACAGGTCAAGTTAAACTGGTGAGTCAGAACCACAGGTCAAGTTAAACTGGTGAGTCAGAACCACAGGTCGGGTTAAACTGGTGACTCAGAACCACAGGTCGGGTTAAACTGGTGAGCCAGAACCACAGGTCGGGTTAAACTGGTGAGCCAGAACCACAGGTCAAGTTAAACTGGTGAGCCAGAACCACAGGTCAAGTTAAACTGGTGAGTCAGAACCACAGGTCAAGTTAAACTGGTGACTCAGAACCACAGGTCGGGTTAAACTGGTGACTCAGAACCACAGGTCCAGTCATGGCTGAGCTAGCTGCGTGCTTCAAACACAACTCGGAGCGACTCGGACCTCGTCTTCTGAGCGCCACCGAGCCGGTTTAAGATGGCCGCTGTGACTTCTACACTTTGATTCATGAAAAGTTTAAAAATAAACAAACATTGATCACTTCATATTTAAAAAATATTTTTCTGTGTTAATCTGCTTCAGCTGCTGTTTTTGTCTAACACCACATGTAGCTTTTAGATAACCTTTTGATACTCTAGCTTTTAGCTACAATTTTGCTGTGCTAGTTTTTTAGTAAACTTTTTCCTACTTTTTGTTTCTAGCTACTCTTTTGCTAACTTTACCTGTCCTTATGCTATTTTAGCTTTCAGCTACAGCTCTGTTACACTAGCTTTTATTTAACATTTAGCTACTTTTAGTTTATAGCAATTCTTTAGCTACTTTTAGCTTTAAACTACTCTTGTGCTACCTTTTGCTTCTAGTTAGACTTTCCTTTTTTACCCACACTTTTGCTACTGTCGTCTAATGTTTTGCTACTCTAGAATTTAGCTTTGTTTATCTTGTAGCTTCATTCCTTTTGCCACTTTTACCTACCCCTTTGCTACTTCAGGTTTTAGGTATGGTTTTCACTCAGACTTTTAGCTAGCGTTTTGCTACTTCTTGCTAGCTTTTTGACACTATTTGAAAAGAAAAACCGAATGTTTGAATAATTCGATCGTGGGTTTAAGAAGAATTTCAGCTAAAATAAAGTTTCCTGTCAGCTTCTTCGGCTCATGTTAGTGTGATTATGCAGTGTGTTAGTTTCAGGTACCTTTGCTTTTCATGCTCTGCTGTTTACCTCCAAAATGACTCCGATCCACCATTTTGTTTCCCACAGAAAGCCTGTGGAGTAATCAGATTACAGTCAGTAATCACATTGCATCATGGTTTGAGTGGCCGCAGGCCGAACTTCGGCTCCTGTTGATGAAAAGAGAGTTAAACTTCTGATGTCTCACCTCCTGCTGAGGCGCTCGTGAGAGTCGTTTCCATGGACGATCATCTGATCCAAAGCCTTCAGAGGAGAGATGGAGGTCTGCTCCTCCTCCTTCTGCTCCCCTGCAGCTCTCTGCAGCGCCTCCTACAGGACAGGAGAGGCTCAACACCCGGAGCAGAAATTTAAACCCGTTTCCACCCGTCTGAGTCTTCTCACCTGAGTCTTCCTCCCGATGAAGAGCGTGGCCGCTCGAGGTAAAGCCAGCTCAAACAGGGACTCATACGGAGGGGCGGGGCTACTGTCCAAGTGGGCGGAGCCTCCTTCCTCTGATTGATGGAAGGGTGGATGAGTGGGGGTGAGGCAGAGAGAGACGGAGCAGGCGGGAGGGGGAAGACTGGAGGAGGAGCTGTCACGATTGGGTGTGGAGGTGAGGAGGTGCCGAGAGGAAGAGGAGGAAGAGGAAGAGTAGGGCAGTGGTTTTACGTCTGCAGACAAACAAAACGTTTATAAAAACTCTTCGCTTGCGGTGACATCACTCAGGCCGGTCAGCTGACCGCTTACCTGCACCGCTCAGGTTGTTGTTGAAGACATCGTTCTCCTGAGCTCTGATTGGCTGCTGCTTCACCTGAGGACAGACAAGGACTGACTTCCTGCTGCTCCTTCACAATAAAAGTACACTAGTAAAGAAAAGTGATCTGATCTCACCTGGTGGCTGGCGTTGGATTGCTGGTTGTCTTCAGTGGGTGGGGTTACAAGGAAGGAAGCTGGTGAGGGACACATCACACCTGTAAACACACACACACACACAACCATTCCACAATGAGTTTGAGTTTGATTAGACTGAACACACACACATCTGAAAACTAAAGTCAGCTCACCTGAGACAGATGAGCACCTGCTTAGTGAGGGGGCGGAGACTATAGCTGTAGGCTCAGGAGGGGGAGTCGACAAACCGCACTGAGAGGAGGGACTCCATGTGACATCATCAGCCTACAGAAAGGGAGACGGTTGCAGAGAGTTCGTCTGGCGGACAAAGATGTTTCCACAATGTCTGGGTTTTTTTTTCCAATTCAATTCATTCAACCTTTATTTCTACAGGTGAGTCTCATTGAGCCTCGAGGACTCATTTACAAGAGAGACCTGATTTAAAGAAAAAAACAGATGAGGTACAGACAACAGACAATCATCTTACTCTGCCTGGCCCCAAAACAAGTCTCCACCTGGAAGTAACTAATGAAACGGTCCGAGCCTGTTGGATCATCACTGCACGGACGATCATGTTTCAGCTGCAACAAGTTCTTTAACTCCAACTGGTTCAATGAGCTGCTTCTCATTTCTTCAACAACATGATGAAAGACTCATGGTGTGGAGAAGATGTCAGTCTGTTTGAGAAGGGTCGAATCATCGGCATCAAACAGAGGAAACATCTCAGGAGATTGTAGAAACTAAAACTGGGTGAAGAACTGTCCAACACATTATTAAAACTGGAAGGACAGTGGGGACCCATCGTCTTCCAGGAAGAAATGTGGCCTGAAATAAATCCTGATCGTGATCAGTGATCATTTAAACGTTTGGTGAAGTCAAATGGAAGAAGAACACCAGCAGCACTCAGGGCTGTGGTTCATAGAGACAGTAAGAACATTTCCACACACACAATGTGAAGGAACTCAAGAACATGTGTAGTTTAAGAAAACCACTAACCAGTGAGGCTAACTGGAGGGAGCATAAAGATCGGACTGTGGAGCAATGGAAGAAGGTCATGTGGTCTGATGAGTCCAGACCGACCCTGTTCCAGAGTGATGGTGCATCAGGGTCAGAAGAGAGGCAGGAGAAGTGATGCACCATCAGGACCAGTGTCTCGTCATCAATGAAAGATGTTGGTGAAACATTAAAGCAACTGGATGAAACAGATCTTGTGACGTTGAAGAAGTTTATTGAAACATTGACACAGAGAATGATGTGATCAAAGTTAAAGGAGGTCCAACCAAATATTAGAGTGTGATCTTTGTTTTGGTGGTGACATTTTTTTTGGCCAGGCCGTGTAAAAAGCAAATAAAATACAAACAAAAGAAACAATATAAAAAAAAAAAAAAACAGCTAGGCTGTAAGGCGATGTAGAAAACTAAAAACAGGAACATGTCTGCGTTGGTTTTTGCCATGAATTTAGCAGATTGATAGAAGTTTAATCTGGCTTGAGTCCCAGTCTGGTCTACTCTGACTCATAAACTGGTTCAGAACAGGTCAAACTGTCTCAGCTGCTCACATTGAGTGATCCCAGGGTCAACACCCGATAAGGAGTCAGTTTTGTTTAATTGCTTTCCATCCATCCATCCATCCATTATCTTTACCCGCTTATTCCATTTTGGGTCACGGGGGTCGCTGGTGCCCATGTCCGGCAATCACTGTGTGAGGGGCGGGGGACACCCTGGACGGGTCTCCAGTCCATCACAGGGACACATAGAGACAAACAACCATTCAGTCTCTCACTCACACCTAGGGACAATTTAGAGTTACCAATCAGCCTAACATGCATGTTTTTGGTCTGTGGGAGGAAACTGGAGCACCCGGAGAAAACCCACGCATGCACGGAGAGAACATGCAAACTCCACCTAGAAAGGCCCCCGGACCGGGGTTTGAACCAGGGACCTGCTCGCTGAGAGGCAGCGAGCAGGTCTACCAGTTGCGCCACCGTGCTGCCGTTGATTGCTTTCCAACACATATAGATTTGCACATCACTCCATTATCCATCCTCAGAAACGGATAAGACCAGTGACGTCACACATAGTCACCCCACTGATACACTCTGATAGGCTGTGCCCGCCCCGGATGTGGAGGCGAAGCCAAGGGCCAGTATAAGCTGGGGTGTTCTGTTGCACGGGGCCTCCACATCAACTTCCGGGTTCAGACGAGTCAGACAGATGCCTCAGCGCTGAGCTTGTAAATTATCCTGCCTTATCGACATTAAACACTAAATAGAATTTACCTCTCCTGATTTTATTGAGTTTGTGTGAATTTCCTCTCCACCTGGGAACAAAAAGAACCGGAAAGATGCTGTGGTCGGACAGCTGACAAGATGTTTGAAGCCACTTAGAGAGGTCAAAGGTCGAGAGCTTCAGATCTTTTTACAAGATATTCCAGGAAACAGGAGCGGAGTAGGAGAAGGTCCTTTTGTCTAGTTCAGTCCTCACTGAGGGAACACTGCAGGTAATGATGTCCTGAGAGCGCACGCTGTAGCTGCACTCACACAGAGACATGTAGGAGGAGATGTATGAAGGCAGCAGACCAGGAAGTGACTTAAAGATGAAGATGTACCAGTGGGAGAGTCTGTGTGGAGTTAATGGTGACCAGTTAACCAGTGAATACTGGGTGCAGTGGTGGGTACGGTAGTTACAGCCATTTATGAATCTTAGTGCACCATGATAGACAGCATCCAACATCTGCAGCATCCAACATCTGCAGCATCCAACATCTGCAGCATCCAACATCTTCAGTATCCAACATCTGCAGCATCCAACATCTGCAGCATCCAACATCTGCAGCATCCAACATCTTCAGCATCCAACATCTGCAGCATCCAACATCTGCAGCATCCAACATCTGCAGGGTTCTTGTAGGAGCGTTCATGTAACTAATGTCACCGTAATCAATGGAGGGAAGGAAAGTCACAGATACAAGGTGTTTCCTAACATTCAGGGTTAGACAGGATCTGTTTCTGAAAAAGAAACCCAGTTTAACTTTCAGTTTCTTTACCAAGTTTTCCACATGGAGCTTAAAAGAGAGATGTGAGTCGACCAAGATACTCAAGTATTTATAGGAATCAACAAACTCAATGGGGACACCATTTGAGGATAAAATCAGAGGAAGAACTGCTGGGACCAACTTCCTATTTGAAAAAAACATCCCTTTGGTTTTGTCGGGATTTAGGACAAGTTTGAGGTGGAACAAATCTGTCTGGATGATGTTGAATGCAGATTTCAAAAGCTGGAAAGCCTTAGCAACAGTTTTAGCTCGACAATAAACAACTGTGTCATCAGCATAGAAATGTATGGATGCATTAGGGATGTTTTTACCTATGTTAAGTATGTAGATTGTAAAGAGGGTGGGTCCTAAGACTGAGCCTTGTGGTACACCATTGTTGACTGTTAAATAACTGGAGGAAGTACCATTATGTTGAACACATTGCCTCCAGTGGTGTGTTCTGAGAAACCAGTTTCTGAGAGTTTATGACACAAGATGTTCTGATCCACAGTGTCAGAATCTTTAGACAGGTCTAAGAAAAGTGCAGCACAATAATCCTTAGCATCCAGTGCTTCAACAACGTCATTAAGAACCTTCAGTGAAGCAGTGGTTGTGCTGTGTTGTTTCCTGAAACCAGATTGATGTGGAGGTAAGATGTTAAATGAGTCCAGGTAATTTTTGATTTGAGAGTTTATCAGTTTTTCTAGAACCTTGACTAAAATGCAGAGTTTAGAGATTGGTCCATAGTTGTTCAGTGAGGGGGGGTCACCTCCCTTCAGCAAAGGAAGAACAAAGGCTGTTTTCAAGTGTCTGGGATGGAGTTTTGTCTTATGGAGAGATTGAAGATGTGGGTCACAGGGACTGTGATGATATGAGCAGCCAGCCTTAAGAAATAAGGTGGAAGTTCATCTGGACCTGCAGATTTTTTAGGACCAAGATCTTTTAACAGTTTATTGACCTCACTGACTGAGAATGGAGAAAAAGAGAAGGTGTGATTAACTGAGGATTGACTTGTAGGAGGGATTTGATTTGTAGAAGTTTGGTTATTAAGTGAAGTGGCTGATCTTCCATTAGTAGCTGGGTTAGGGGTCCAAAACCCCAAAACTGGTTCTTTTATCCAGATTACCAGAACTTTGCTGGTCCAGAACAAAGAAATGCTTTCTTCAGAGGAAGACGATGTTTCTAAATGTGACTTAAAACAATCCAGGAAAACATGGCAGCAGTTCTCAGGACAGAGTGGTCAGTTAATATTTTCATTGTTTCTGAGATTCAAGGCAACAAAGTTCATGCTCAATCATCCAGGTACCATGACCTGACTGAGAATTATTGGATTATTTTTGAGATGATTTAATAAACAGGAGTTTCTGCAGGGAAGCTGTGAGCAGTCTTGCGGTCCTATGAGCAGCTCTCTGATTAAACATGACCCATCTGCGCTGACTGGAGCTGCTGCCACTAAGATTCAGGCTCTGTGGGCTGAACGGAGGCTGAAGCAGCACCTGGTCCTACAGGTATCTGTGTGTGTGTCGGACAGGTGGGATTACCTGCAAGGTGGAGGCACTGAGTGTCAGCTGAGGTAGATGTCCACGGACTGAACTTCCTGCCAGAAGATGGACAGAAACACTTTCAGATACACCGTGTGAACAACAACGTGTCTGTTGCTGAGGCTTACCTGAGCTGCTGACTAGCTCTGAGTCATAAGGGGCGGAGCTAAGATCCGGGTAAGGAAGAGGGAAGGTTACTGAGGGAGGTCTGGGTGAAGGAGTGGAGTAAATGTCTTCCTCACAGGAAGACTCCAGAGGATCCAGAGACAGCCTGGAGCACTCGATCACAATGTCGTGAACTTCATAACGTCTCCACCTGAGAGGGAGATGAATGAACAACTCACACCAGGTAAACATCAGAGCAGGTAAACATCACAGCAGGTAAACATCAGAGCAGGTAAACATCACAGCAGGTAAACATCACAGCAGGTAAACATCACAGCAGGTAAACATCACAGCAGGTAAACATCACAGCAGGTAAACATCAGAGCAGGTAAACATCACAGCAGGTAAACATCACACCAGGTAAACATCAGAACAGGTAAAGCAGGTAAACAATAAACCAGACAAATCATCCATCCATCCATCCATCCATTTTCTTCCGCTTATCCGGGGTCGGGTCGCGGGGGTAGCAGCCTAAGTAGGGAGGCCCAGACTTCCCTCTCCCCAGCCACTTGGGCCAGCTCTTCCGGGGGAATCCCGAGGCGTTCCCAGGCCAGCCGAGAAACGTAGTCCCTCCAGCGTGTCCTGGGTCTTCCCCTGGGCCTCCTTCCGGTGGGACGTGTCCGGAACACCTCACCAGGGAGGCGTCCAGAAGGCATCCTAAACAGATGCCCAAGCCACCTCAACTGGCTCCTCTCGA